AATTAGAAAAGAGAAAGAAATAAAAGGAATAAAGATAGGAAAGGAAGAAGTTAAACTGTCATTATTTGCTGATGATGATACTTTACATAGAAGACCCAAAAAATTCTGCCCAAAAGACTTCCAGACTTAATTGACACATTCAGTAGAGTAGCTGGATAAAAACAAGGTCAACACTGAAAAAACAACAGCCTTTTTATACACAAATAACAGACTCACTGAGAGAGAAATTAGGGCAACAATCCTTTTACATTAGCACCCAAAAAAATGAAACATCTAGGAATCAATCTAACAAAGGAAGCAAAAGATCTCTATACTGAAAACTACAGCTCTGTGAAAAAGGAGACCCAGGAGGGTATAGGAAAATGGAAAGACATCCCTTGTTCCTTGGTAGGACGAACCAATATAGTGAAAATGGCGATACTTCCAAAACTACTATATAGATTTAATAGAATGCTGATTGAAATTCCAACAATATACTTCACAAAACTAGAGAAAACAATCCAAAAATTCATTTGGAACCAGAAGAGACCCAGAATAGCAAAAGCAATTCTAGGTAACAGAGACATGGCAGGGGGTATCACAATCCCCAACTTGAAACTATACTACAAAGCTACTGTGGTAAAAACAGCACGGTACTGGCAAAGAAACAGGCACGAGGATCAGTGGAATAGATTAGAAGATGCAGAAACAACTCCAGACATATTCAGCCACCTCATTGGAGGTAGGAGCCAACCATCCTCATTGGAAGAAAGATAGCCTCTTTAATAAATGGTGTTGGAAAAACTGGATTTCAACTTGCTGAAGATTAAAACTAGACCCATACCTATCACCATGCACTAAACTAAGATCAAAGTGGATTAAAGATCTAAATACTAAGACAGAAACACCAAACTTGCTGGAAGTTAGGTCTTGAAGACCTAACTGAAGTTAATGTCTTGAAGACACTGGCATAGGAAAATACTTTATGAACAAAACCTCAATAACACAGGAACTAGCACTAAGAATCAACAACTGGGATCTCATCTTATTAAGAAGCTTCTGCACTGCAAGAGAAACCATCAGCAGAGCTAAGAGACAACCTACAATGTGGGAAAAAATTTTTAGCAGCTGTACCTCAGACAAAGGACTACTATCTAGAATATATAAAGAACTGAAAACAATCAGACCCTCCAAATTTAAAGACCCAATTCAAAAATGGGCATCTAAAATGAACAGACATTTTTCAGACAAAGAAGTAAAAGCAGCAAACAAGCATATGGAAAAATGTTCAAAAAATGTTCATCACTGGTCACTTGAGAGATGCAGATGAAAACATATACACTTAAGAACAGTTTGGTAGTGTTTTAGGCATACACCTAACATGTGACCAGGTATCTGATTCTAAGTATTTATTTGTAAGACAAATGAAAACATCAGTCACACAAGGATTTGGGGATGAATATTCATATCTGTATTTGCAATAACTCAAAATCAGAAACAATCTACTGAAGGTGAAAACATAACCCACCTTTGGTATACTATACAATAGAATGTGACTCAATAATTAAATGAACTGTTGGTACATGCAGCAAAATGGAAGAATTTCAAATAAGTATGGTAAAGTAAGAGATGTTAGACGAAGGGAGTATATAATATTTTATCATTCTATTCATATACAATTCTAGAAAAATCCACATCCAATTCTCAGACGATTTAAAAGAATTCTATAAACACTAATACACTGTAATCATCTTTCCATACACAAACATACATCAAAAATGTATGTACACATTGAAAGAATATGATAAAGCAATTGTGGCAGAAGTTAACAATTGATACATCTAAGTCAAAGTACTACTAGAGGTTATTTGTGCTACTGATGCAACTTCTCTCTAAGTTTAAAATTATTTCAAAATAAAAAAAAAATTATAAAAATAAGCAAGCAAAACAAGTTTTGAGAAAGGTGAAGTCCCAGTCTTCATTGCCTTATTCTTCTCCACAATACTCCTTTACAATGTTTCATAAAAATACTGTAAAAAATATCTTTCAAGCTCTAGAATACTTTTTACTACGTATTGAGGGAAAAGTATATGTAAATACAAAACTATGTAAAGTTATGATTTAAATCTTTTGAATACATCAATAAAAGTCAACACCATGGTTCAATAATTGTATTTTTTAAATCTATGCACTACTGTGCATAGATGACAAATGTCATTTTTTAAAAGCGTCATTTGAAGGACACCTCACTTACTGAAAATACTTGATATAAATTTGCAAATTCTGACACAAGCAATATGATCTAAGAATTAATGTTTAATGACTTCTAATTTTGAACTTACCAGTTGTGTAATGTGATTTTTATCTACCCTATCACTTCCTGTTTATTTCAAAGACACTGCTATTACAAAGACTTTAATTGCTATTACAAGAAATTCTAGGTAAATAAAATGGTAACACTAATCAGTCTTCACCCTCTGTCCGGTAGACTTTTACAACATATGATCTTGGAAAGCAAACTCAAAGGAAAACTAGTGTATCTTCTTGTCTCTAAGACAAATCATATAATAGGTTAGCCATCCCTATTCAAAAATCTGAAACTTTTTGGAACACCAACAGGATGCTCAAAAACTAAGATTTTGGAGCATTTTGAATTTGGGATTTTCAGATTAGGGATGCTCAACTGGTAGTCTATGCAAGTAAATAAGACTGAGTAAAATTAAGTATTAACAATACACAAACATTTGGATTTTATATACTAGAACAGAATATATATTAGGCTGTGCTCAAGGAAGACACAGCCAATAGGTATCAGAAGGGAAACACAGAAGAAAATACTTATTAATACTTATCTACTAGCTGGATGTGGTTGTTTACATCTGCAGTCGCAGGACTCTGAGAGGTTCAGTCAGGTGGTCCCCAAATCTAAGCCTAGCCTGAGCAACTTAGTGAGACCTTGTCTCAAAATTAATAAAGGGTTGGGTACATAGCTCAGTGTGAAGACCTTATGTTCAATCTTCAGTATTGTAAGAAACAAAACAAAACAAAACAAAAAAACCAAACCTCAACTGAGGTTGGGGTGAAGAATTCATGGTACAACATCCTTAGCATTCATAAGGCCCTAAGTTGGATCCCTAACACAATAAAGAGGAGGAGGTAGGGAAAATATACTTACCCATCTAATATTAGACTTTCGTAGGCAGCTTTTTTGTCACAGACAGGACAAATCCAGGTGGGCTTCTTCTCATTCATTTGTAGATAAAGGGCAGCATCGAAACACTGCAGATGTGTACATGTCACTGCACGGCATGGGATTGTTAGCCTCATTTTCCCTAGCTACAGGACAAGAACACAATATGAAAACTACTTCAAAATGGAAAACAAAGCCTCACAGAAACAATCATAACAGTTTGAAGAAGCTATTTAAAAAGATGATCAAAATAAAAAAAGGAATCCAAATAACAATTTATTCCCACCAAGATTGCTTTTTTAAGTTCATTTGATTGTTCTATGATTTTTGAAAGATCACTTTATGTTTTCAAAGGTAGAAAAATATACATATACAGTACAATGTAAACAAGACTTCTTCTCACCTGGTTCCCCCCGGTATTTAAAGAACCACTGTTATACATCTTTTACATGTCCTCTCATAGATGTTCTGTGCATTAATCAAGTGTATATTTAAAATATTTTCCCATAAATTGCACATTTTGTACACATTCTGCAGAGTTCTACTGATATCAACATATGTAAAGTATCCTAGCTAGATCAGATTTTCCTGTAAAACCTTTAAAATGTCCTCATATATTTCCTTCATAGAAAATATCTCTATTTAAAATTAGCTCTGTAATTTTGTCTGAAAATTTGTTGCTAGCCCTAGATCCTAAGCTCCATAAGGACAGGGTGGTCTGCATCTGTTCATCACTGTAATCCCACTGTCCGAGCACAATATGAACTCATAGTACATGCTCTACATTAATGGACCAAGCAGTAGAATGGATGAGGACTGAAACAGAGGCAAAGAGACAATTGGATTTCTTCATATGTACTATAGTTTAGAAAAATTCATAGCAGAATTATAACATTCTTAACTGGCTGGATGACAGAAATTTCAGGATGTTATTATTTTTGGTTGATCTGTAGTTTAAGTGTGTTAAAAAGAACATTTGCATATTATATAATTTTATTTTATTTTTATTTTTTTGGTACCGGGGATCGAACTCGGGTCCTTGCACTTGCACAGCGGGTGGCGAAACCGCTGAGCTAAATCCCCGACCCAATATAATTTTAAAAGAAAATTATTTTGGGCCGGGGATTTAGCTCAGCGGTTCCGCCGCCTGCCTTGCAAGCGCAAGGACCCGAGCTCGATCCCCAGTACCAAAAAAAAAAAAAAAAAATTACTTTGCTAAATCAACATGGCTGTAATTCTTACATAATTTATACCTCTGCGTAAAGCATAATGTTGAGTACTTTCCATTTAATTTCAGAATATTTTTACATTTAAACTGAATACACTATAAAAATATATTTGTAAATATAAAACAATAATTTTCCCCCCAAGGTACTGGGGAGTAAATCCAGGAATTTCACACTGAGCTATACACCCAGCACCATCTCCTATTTTTAAATTTTTTAATTTGACACAGTCTTGCTAAGTTCCCCAGGCAGGGCTCTAACTTGAAATCCTCTGCCTTAGTTTCCCAGAGTGCCAGGAGGAAAAAAAGTAAACCATCACACCCAGGTCCCAGTTTATAAATAAGGAGTCTGAGGCACACAGAAGATAAGAAGAAAAACTAAATACATAAATTAAAAAAAAAAATAAGTTGAGCAATCTAACAGTACAAAGTCAGAAAATAGCAGAGGTGAGAAGTGAGCCATGCAGTTCATCCTCATCACTGTGCTACACTTCCTCTACCTACTTATGATTATAAAAGAGACTTTAGAAGTTAGTGATTCAAAGAAGTATGTAGTACAGAATAACTTGCCATTTTAGGACAGAAAAAAAAAAAACTAGGGCAACTTCTCTTACACTATATGTTCTTCTGTTATTTTTGCTTCCTTTAAAACAGATGTAAGTTATCTAAAATGTTACAGTATGCTAGAATTTTTTCAAGGAATTCCTATAATCCTCATAACAACATTATACCCAGAGGAACTTGCATCTCTACTTGTATTGTGAAATGAAAATGCAGAAGCTACAAGAGGCTAAAACAATTCGAGAAACAGCTGGTGGAGTTACAACACAAATCCAAATGTTTCTTGCTGTTCTGAGATGTTCCTAGCGGTATAACATTACACATAGTACTAGCTTTTGGGTTTAATTATCTTTTTCCAATTCTGCTAAAAATTTATGTTTTATTAAGAAAGGATGCTGACTACATACCTATTTTGCACTCAATGAGATGATCATGATTTTTATAATCCTTTCAACTAAAGAATAGTTTAAACATACTGTATTTTCTAAAATCAAACAATCTTTGCATTCCTAAAGGCAACTCTTTATTAGTACCCATTACTAAAAGGTGCTCAACACACGGCAGCCCCCGGGTGGAAGTTGACTAAAGATCATGTGGTGTTACACTCTGGCAGAAAATTCATCCTTATTTTGCCCATGTCTTGAGACTTTTTAAGAAAGTGAGATTAAGAGCAGTGGACTAATTATTCCACTGGAGGAAATTTCAAAGCAGCCCAATATTTAGGCTGTGGCATGGGCACTGCTGGTTGCTTTTAGCCAGATCTACAGTGAAAATCAGGAGCAAAAAGCAAATGTGAAATGTCTTAGGTTGCATGAGAAAGAAGCACCTACAAAGATAGGGCAAAGAAGTAAATGGTTGCTAAAAAAGATTACATCTCCACAATAGGAAAGATGGCTTGAGGGCATCTCAGGAATCAGGAAGACTCCACTCACCCTTGGAAGGCTCAAGTGTACAAAAAAGTTTTCATTTGAGAACAGAGCTCCTGGGCCACCTGCTCAAGAACAGCTACACAAGGAATTGGTTCCCCAGGATTCATTTCATTGTGCTCAGCCATCCTGGCACTCAGAGACAGCAGACCCTGGTGTCATCCACGTGGTGCTGGTTCTATAGTCATGAGGAATACAAGAGTTACGGGGTCATGTAGGCTTCAGATTTCGATAGAAGACTCAAAGCCCAGGCAATATGCCCCTGTGAAGGCAGTGTGCGAAACTGTGAGAATGAAGCCAAAGTGCAGTGGAGATCTCAGAACATTGGAGATGCCATGAATATGGAGCATATGCTAAGCAGGGCCACAGGCAATGAGCACAGCCAGCCCAAGGGAGAGGGCATGAGGGTTGCAACCAGCAATGCTACAGGTACAGGGCTGCCCAAATCCTTTTGAGCTAACATTGTGCCACAACTTGCTCTAGGCTCTGGACATCCAGTTACAGTATTTAATGTTTGCACTACTGAGTTTCAGTGTTGCTATGGTCTGATATCTATTCCCCTAGTCTTCCCTTTAGAAATAGGAACATTTATCCTATGTCATTGAATATTGGAATTGTTTAACTTTCTGTTGGGTTTTGGCAGAGGTTCACAGCTAAGAGTTTGCCTTGAGTCTCAGAGGACACTTTGGGTTTTTTGGGGTTTTTTGGGGGTTTTTTTGGTACCAGGGATCAAACTCAGGTCCTTGTGCTTGTGGGGCAGGCGGTGAAACCACTGAGCTAAATCCCGGGCCCTCAGAGGACACTTTGGACTTAAAACTTTTCAGTAATCCAGCAACTGTTAAAGACTTTTTAGAGATGGCCTAAGTGCTCTTTGTATGAGAAGGATTTGAAACTTTTAGAAGCCAGGGTTGCTATGTTATGGTTTACATTTAAAACGATTGCCAAAATTCTCATATTTGGAGGTAAGGCCTGGAGGGAAGGGGTGGGTACTTGGAGTGTAACCTGAAAGGGTGTATTCTCACCTCGCTTCACTTTCTGCTCCTGGCTGCCATGTTAACACCCTATCCTCATCCATGGCCCTCTGCCATCCTGTTTCTGTCTTAGAGTCAGTCAATCATGGAGTGTAAGCCAAAATAAATCTTCCCTCCTTTGAGTTGGCCAGGTATTATATCCCAGTGACAAGAAAATGACTAATGCAGGTAGTATTTTCTTGAAAGGAATTCTCAATCAATATAAGTGAGTTTGTTTTGCATTATTATCATCAATGTTTGCAAACAACCCAAATCATCACTAAAATAGGTAGAATCTAAGTTACACTAAGCCGATTCAATAATATGCCTATAGTGATTAAGACAGATCTACATATACTAAAGATATACTGTTAATTAAAACATAGCAGGACATAGTACACATAGTACAATTTTTTCAATAAACATATATAAAATTAAAAACAGTTAAATCTAAAAAGATATATTAATAACACTACTTCTGAATAACCTTGGTACCTTAAATTTTTATTTTTTAATTGTTTCTGTTCTAGTCACATAATATTATAATTAAGTAGGTATTAAACATCTATTACTTGTTTATATTTTTTAAAAACAATGCTCTCAGACCACTGTTTCAAGCTACAAGTTCTCAAATCTTTGGTTTCAGAACTCTTTACACGCTGTTATGGCTTGATGTCCCCCCAAAGCCTCATGTGCTCATAGACAGGGCTTTTTGGGGGTGGCTGGACCTAGGGCAGTGGTGGCAAACCTATGGCACATGTGTTGTTTTTCTTTTAATACAAAAGACGTTAATATATGAGTTTTTTTCTAAACTAAAATCTCAGTATTCAGGTTTAACTCCAGTGTTGGCACTTTGCAATAAATAAATGGGTTTGGGTTGCAGTTTGGGCACTCCTTTCTAAAAGGTCATCACTGATCTAGGGAATGTGAATATGGATTAAGGGTGTGTGATAACTAAATTAGTCCACTTACTGGTTTAGCATAGTTTTAGGTGTGGATAATGGGAAGGCCTACCTCACCACCCTGGGTGTAGGTGGCATCAACTATTAGGCTTGGAGCCTGGATGGGATAAAAGGGAAAGGAAGGCTTGCTGCTGCTGCTTCCTGACTACCCTGCCATGGACTGTTTATCCTCTGCCATACTCTTCTGCCTTGGAGCCAGCTGTCCATGGACTAAAACCTCACAAATTGTGAGCTAAAATAAACCTTTCCTCCTTTAACTTGTGGGTGTTATTTTATCCTAGCAATGAGAAAGTAAATAAAGACACACCTTTAAAAACTAAATAGCTCAGTTATTACATATGTGGGTGGACACCAATATTTACTGTATTAGAAATTTAAAAATACTTTAAAAGATAAGAGTACACAAGTAAACACCCTATTAACCTCAAAACCAGTGACACCATCACTTGTCAAATAATCTGTTAAACAGCACTAAGAGAGTGGGAGAGGGAATGAAATTATGGGGGTTGGGGCTGTAGCTCAGTGACAGAAGACATTCTCAGATTAATCCTCAAAACACACATACACACAAGTAAAATAATAAAAAAAAAAAGATGTGTTTGCATTACAAAAAGTTTGACTTGGGGACTTCTGAGTCTCAGAGACCCTTAGGTATCCCAGGGGGTCTGTGTTTGTGTGTGGCACTGGGGACTGAACCCAGGACCTTTGTACAGAGCTACCACACCCAGCCCTATTAATTATTTATTTATTTCCATTGTGAGACAAGGTCTTGCTAAGTTGCCCAGGCTGGCCTAAAATTTTAAATCTTGTTTTCACCTCTCAAGAGTGCTGGGAGTACAGGTATGTGCCACAATTCCCAGCTCTTGGGCCACATTTTGTAAACCATTATTTTGTGATTTTTTTTTTTTCTATGCCATCTTCATCTTTTCTGTTGCTGCCTTAAAATTTCTACAACATAACATTCAGAATTATAAAGTTGCTGATCCTTAATTTAATTCTACACTAATGAAATGGTGTCTAGCCAACACAATATTTCTTTCTTATAAAATGCCATGCAGGCAAGTATCTAAGTTGATATTTGTTTCATGTAGACTAATGAGTAGGAATCCAAATTAAGAGTTTATAAGTAAAAATGACCCCAATCAGTGGTTTTGAACAATTTTTAGCAAAACTTAGAAACATATATATATATATATAATTTTTTTTTGTTTGGTTTTAAGTTTCTAAAACTCAGTGGTTAGATTCAATGTTGACTTTAAGGGGAAATTTGATTCGATTCTCATCCAATTTACCAGAATTGTGGAATTAAGTTTGTGAACCAAGGTACCAATGTACTGTGAAATTACTTTCTATAGGTCCCAGAACTGGAACTTGTTCCCATTATCCACATTCATGTGTACTCTAAATTATTTCACAAATGTACTATGAAATACAACAAACATTTTTTCTACCACTCTAGGCTGTCATTTTCTCTTGTTTTTGCCAAATAAAAACAGGGTTCACTTTTTATCCTTTCAAGTGCTTGGAATCCATTTTGGTTTTTTCTGTTCCACTTCCTGTTACCACACCAGATTCTGTGTTATTTTCATCATTAGCCAGCAGGGACTCCATTCTGGCTTTTCTACCTGATACTAAGATTGTGTCTTCCTCAAAAACTACTTCCATCATCTAACTTCAGTCATCTACACGTTAAGTATGGCCAAAACTTGCAATTCATTTTCTAATACACAGCATATATTACAGTTTCGTTATGCAAGTTATTTATTTATTTATTTATTTGGTACCGGAGATCGAACTCGGGTCCTTGTGCTAAGTTATTTTAATACAATGGCCAAAAGAGTATAATTCATTCTTTTCAGAAAAGTGCTCTGAAAAAAAAAAATCAAGTAAGATAAAACTGTAAGGAAAAGAGTTTTAGAAACAGACCTGTTGCCGATGTACATGGAGAAAGAAAACGTAATGATTGAAAACAGGATAAAAGAGCTGGGGGTATAGCTTAGTGGTAGAGCATATGCTTAGGGTTTGAGTGCCAGCACTGTGAAAACAGTTCATATATTTTATTTCTTCAAATAACTAAACAGTTAATTTTCTTAAAATTGACAAGTTTGAAAGGAACTGCTCCCAATGCTTATATAAAAGGAGTGCTAACCACACTGATACTGTTATTAGAAGCCTTGGAATCCTTTCAGTATGTCTGGCCATTGTGTTCAGTTTTGGTTGTCCTCATAGAGAATGGCAGCCATGTAAAGGGGGGAAAGTTCAAAGAAAATACAGAAAATAGCATTATATAATTGTTGCACACATTGAAAACTGTGTAAAAGCACTTTGTTCCTAGCAGAATAGTTTGACATTGAGTTCCTTCCTATATAGTAACTGCACACCTAGAATATAGTCAGCAATTAATGTCTGCTGAATATAGTAGGGTTAAACTATAAAAAAACTGTCAAAATTCAACTGTTTTTGACCAACAAATGGTAATTTCACTTGTTTCAATCTAACATCCACTTTAATTTTAATATGAGAGGAGGAAAATAAGGTAATGTGGAGATACTCAAAACAACTCCTGCCTGCAATGTGCATAAAGCTCTGGAACAGAGAAGGGTGTGGGTCCTAACAAAAGGCCACTAGAGCCTCTACCACAACATCAGTATACTAACATCTTCCCTTGCTTGTACTGCAAATCTCCCTAAGTTTAATAACCACAGCAGTCTCACTTTCTAAGCATTCCCAATTTCACAAAACTCTATTACTTTTCAATAAAGATATGGTACTTTTGGGTCAGGGATTTAGCTCAGTGGTTTTGTTGCCTGCCTCGCAAGCGCAAGGACCCGAGTTCGATCCCTGGTACCAAAAAAAAAATAATAATAAAAAGATGCTACTTTAAAAAAAAAAAACGTAATGATGATAAATAAACCTACATAAAAAAAGATAACTGCATGATGTATCTTGGTTCTGTATCATGTACAGGTACAAGCACCCAATGATAAAAGTAAACGTATTGCATACCTAAAATGTACCAATAAAAGAATTTAAGCAAAAAAAGAAAGATAACTACAAACACCATTTTACAGTGTACTAGAAGGTACACTTATAATCAGGACATTTATATTTGAGGCCAATCTGGTAGCACAGTTATTGGAAAGACAACTGGAATAATACCAGAAAGACTAGAATTTTAATTTTAACTCAAAACCTTTAATTTTTGTTCTACTGTGTGATGTGGGTTAATCAATCTCTATCAGTCTTGGATTCCTCATGAACAAAATCAGGACAACTCCTCGATATAGGCTTGCAAGAACAGTTAAATAAGTACATAGTAGGAAATTCACAAATTGTTTCCTTCTTTCTTTTCTGACACAATTTTGTCTTCATGAAAAAACACTGGGGCCAGAGATTTAGCTCAGCAGTACAGAGCCTGCCTGGCAAGCATGACTTCGATTCCTGGTACCAAAACAAAACAAAACATTGTATAGTCTCACAACACTGCCCCCACAAACTACATTATAAATTTCTGATTCTATCATTTTTTTTCATATTGAGGTCTTCTTTCCACACTAATTTTATGTTTTGTTTTGTCTTTTAAGACAGGGTCTCACTATTTAGTTCCAGCTGGCCTTAAATTCTCGGTGATTCTCCTGCCTCATCCTCCCAAGTGCTGGGATTATAGGTATGTGCCACTATTCCAAGCATCGACACAAATTTTAAATAAGTTTTTATCCACTCTCCCTGATCTCTCCTACCTCTTTATATGTGGTTAGGTACAGACTGCTTTTTCATGTGAGTTGATTTTATCTCTCAAAATAGATTATTAACTTTATGACAACTTCACAAATCCTCAATATTTTGCCCTAGTTAGTTCAGTGCCAAACGCACAGGAGGATCTCAGTGTAGCTTGCTTGATTTCTCACCCAAGTCTCTATGTAAAGAGATATAAAGTATAGTACAAAGATACCCCAAATACCATGACTTACTAAGCCAAGACCATCAGCAGTTAGGACTTATCAGGCCCCAGTTATTTTATTGCTATTTTTTAATGCAACATATATTCTGATAAAAGGAGCTAGCTCTTAATATGTGCTTATAATTAGCTGTGGATTATTATCAGCATTAATTTTGAAAGATTATTCTTAGCCTAAAACTATCTTCCTTCTGTGATATGAAAGCCTTTCAGGTCTCTCGCTTCATCATTACCTGAAGAATACAAAGAACTATAATGCTTAATCATGAATATTCCTAAATGGGAAAAAATTCAGAATTTTATCAAAATATATCAGTGCTTTTCATACTTATTTTTATCGGGAAATTAGTCACTTATAAAAATAAAAAGTTTCTTAGAACAGTTTGTAGGATTACTCACAGGGCACGTCAAGGACACCCGGAGACTAGTTGTAGCAATTTCACTATCAGGATCTGCAGTAAGTTTTTCTTTAACTTGAAAAAAAGTGAAAAATAATAATTAAAATGTTTTAAAATAATGGTGACGTATGAGCAGAATGTAAAATTCCTTTTCCTTGTAAATTTCCCAAACACTTTAAGTCAAGAAACACAAACTGCTAAATATTAGTGTATTAAAAATACAATACAACTATACTCCCAGTACCATATCAGGTTAAAGAATTGTGAATGTACAAACTCTGGATCTTGTATGTAACTGAATTTTTAATATTTCTCTTTAAAAGTAGGACTGCTTGTATGGAAGAGTTAAAAAAGAGAACATTGTTTTAAGACTTTGCTATCATGACCTTCAGTGGTTTTCTAACACATTCATTACTGTTTTTATTAGGTTGCATTGGTTTTCTCAAACTATTAAAAAAAAATTTTTTTTTGAGACAAGGTCTTGCTATGTAGTCCAGGCTGGCCTTGAACTCACTGTAGACTAGGCTGGCCCAAACTCGAAGTGAGCCTCCTGCCTCAGCCTGCCAAATGCTGGGATTACAGGCATGTGCCACCATGGCCGGCAAACAACTATTAAATTTGTAAACAGAATAGAGAATATTTTTGTATTTTCTCTGATAACTGAAAACTATATAGGTGATATGTCTGTGATTGTCTTCACCAGGTAATCTGTACATGCTGTTTATAAAAGACAATTTTTCCAGCTCTCTCCCACCCCCATTAAAGCATCTCATATATTTGATCTTATAAACATTACTTACTTAGTGCTCTGGAATGATCGGGGTTTCTAATACCTTTCATTTTTAATCTCTGTAATAACATGGCTGATGTCAGTTGTCGTACAAGATATACAGACATAGAATAATTCTGCAAAAAAAGATATTCTGTATTAAAGACTAGAGATAATATTATACTTACATAAATATTTGTCTAAAAAATTCTAGTTTCTATAAACATTCAAAACAATTTCTCCAGGAAGATCAATGACTAGAAAAAAAGAAATAATCAACTAGACTACTTCAAGGAGGAAAATGTTATACTTATTCTAAAGGTATTTCACAATAACTTACTACTTTAAATCATCCACTGGTATAGTAAGTAGCTTCATTCAGAAGTCTCATTCTCTCTTGTAGTACTGAGGACTGAATCCAAGGGCCTTCACACTGACCTACATCCCCAGGCCTTTTTATTTGAAAGAGGGTTTCAGTAAGTCACTAAATTGCCAAAGCTGGAACTTGCCAATTTTCCTGCCTCAACCTCCCAGACTGCTGGGATTACAGGCATACACCACCTTGCCCGGCCTCAAGCTAAGTTTCTAATTTAGCAAAACTTGCTAGCTTAGGGACTACCATGACAACACACTCTCTCTTACCTACTTACAACCAGATTCCTTCTGTTTTTAACTTATATAGTAATGAGGTGCTCATATTTTCACTGAAAAGTGGTGATACTACAGAAACAATGTTCAAACACTAATGATCTGAATTAACACTTTTAGAAGATTCCAATTCTGGCAGAATAGACCACTTGCCCAATGACACTGGGCAAATTAATTGAAGTCAGCATCAACTCTCTTCTAAGGAAAGTTTTAACAACTCCAGTCCCTAAATGGGCATTTTACTGGGAAAGAGGCATCTACTATAGTGTGTAAGACATGAAGAATGAAAACACTTTAAAAGGCAAGGCCAGAAAATAATAGTATCCTGTACCTCTTAAATCTGGCAGAACCTTCTTTAGCTATTCATAGGACTATGAAGAGAGGAAATACAATTTTACCTAAATGCTAAAACATTCCATTTTATCATTTCACTACACATAATTCAATTGATTCTATAATAAACCAAATGCTTTTTATAGTTGACAAACCAAGCATTTTAAATACTTTCTGATGTTCTTTTAAATATCTAAATACCTACATATTGCACAAATTTTAGGTCCATTAATTATTTTAACACAAAACAAATATTATTCCCATTATATGACAAAACTGCCAATTTTTCAGTCTATAATCATTTATCTTAAAAACTACATATTACTTCCAGCTCTACAATTAGTTTGGTGGTAAAACAACAAAATCATCCTGCTATTCATATGGTCACTTTCTTCAATGTGAAAACAGTAATATTTTATTTCCATGGAACAGGTTCACTCAAGTTGATGTTCAGAAATTAAATGAAATTTCTTTCCCCATTCATTTTGTTATATATATAAAACTCTAAAATGTAAAGTCTTTATTGTATTAACATCTCATAACTGATATAATTCATTTTGAGACTGACAATCACCAAAAAGCCAGATTCATGAACTTGAAGGTATACAAAAAATAATTCTAAGTGGGCACTTTTATATGAGATGCCCACTTATTAACGCTTTCCCCTAAAGACTGATAAAGCCCTTTTTTTTGTTCCTCTTCACATACACTTATCACCCCAAAGCCTTAGGTTTAATGGTATTACTTATAACACCACAACCCCCCCCCCCACACAGAGTGCTTAAACCATTACTTTAAGGAATAAGAATATATGTATTTCCTTTCCCAGAATATAAACAGACAATACTCAGGATACCTCAGAGTTAAAAGTTTACAACCGTAAAAATCTCACCACCATTCTGAATTGAAAATTACTGCTTTTTAAAGATTATAGTTAGAAAACAGAGAGTTAGAGCTTGTATCTAAAGACAAAAATAATCAACTCTCAGTGGAGGAGAGAATCTTACCTTTCCAATTTCAGATGCCCAAGAAATAGAAATCTGGTTTGGCACAGCTGAAGACAACCTCACTAAAGATGTAATATTCAAGGGGCGTCCAGGGCGCTTCTGCTCAATCCCATTTTTCGGTGGTGGTGCATAGCCCTATAACCATATGAGAAAAGTTACATTCTCTGTAGGGGATTAAACATTTTCTCTAAGACAGAACAAGATCTTGCCTAATTTTGGTTGCATTGGGTTATTTTTATTCTATCCTGGAAATGACAGTCCAGAAAAAACAGAGAACAAAAATCCATGTTCCACCAATAAAATGGTATCTTGCCATACCGTTGCTAGAGTTTTAGGGTAAAGGCCCCAGCTCCAAGGAGGCTCAAGAAACTAGGTCAGTGATGGAGAACCTTTTAGAGACAAGTGCCCAAATTGCAACCCAAAACCTATTTATTTACTGCAAAGTGCCAACACGGCAATTAATCCTGAATACTGAGGCTTTAGTTTAGAAAAAACGACTCATACATTAACATCTTTTTTCTTAAAAAAGTGGTGACGTGCCATAGGTTCCTCACCACTGGACTAGGTTTTCCCAACCATCCCAAGATGCCAATCGAAGAGAGGAACAGTGGCAAAGGTAAGAAAGGAAATTTAATAAGTATAGCTGTACTGGGAAGACAAGGGAACCAGGATCCTCACTCCTGTCTTTGCAGATACAGTACTGACAAGAGCTTTAGATTTAATTAGGGAAGGAATAGAAGGAGGGTCCCATGAAGCATGCACATAGTTAAAGAGTCTTGGTCAAACTGTGCTATATGGTTGATGATTATCTCAGGTCTGGTTCAGAAGTGTCATCACAGTCACTTTGAGGGGGCTATCTGGTTCTCTTTGTGAAATGGTAGCTCCTGCTTAGGGGGTGGGGTAGGTCTTGGTTCTCCTCAGGGAGTAACTGCTCCTTGAACCACATAATTGCTCTCACTTAGAAGGACAGTCTCATTATGGTGTGACTTGTCTGTAATAAGGAATAGGCTCTACTGTTCTTGGAAGGTTTAGGCCAATCACCAGAGACTTCCAGGTTGTGCTGGGTGCACACGAGGGTAGGTGGGGCTTGAATAAGACATTGTAAAAGCTGGGCCAGGGATTTAGCTCAGTGGTTCTGTCACCTGCCTCAAAGCGCAAGGTCCAGAGTTCAATCCCGGGTTCCAAAAAAAAAAAAAAGCCATTGTAAAAGCTGGCAGTTGAAGACCTTAGTTACTCTTCCATTGGGGTCTTCAGTTTTAAAGGGGGGAGACTACCAGCTTTAGGTGAACATTCTTTAAAGGATTAACATGCCTGCCTATATGCAGAGTTGAACAGTAGTCTAACCCAAAGTTTAAGGTAAAAAAGGCAACACAAAATGGAGACGCCAAGCTTTTATCCTGCTTTTACCTATTAGGTGTCTACAGGCCTACATAAAGAATTCTTTTAGCAAAAGCACCTTCTAAGCCCTTGATACAATATTAGCTATGAATCTCCTTTTCTATTTTATTTATTTTTTTGGTACCGGGGATCAAACTCGGGTCCTTGCACTTGCACAGCAGGCAGCGAAACCACTGAGCTAAATCCCCGGCCCATGAATCTTCTTTTTTACAGGAAACTAAGCTTTGCACATAAAGCTGAACCTCTCTGTAATGACTCATCTTAGAAGGCCCCTTTCAAAATGCATTCACGTACTAGGGGGAAGAGAGAAAGCAAACTCTAGAAATTAAAACAAGGAATGCATTAATGAATTTCATAGGGATTATTCAGATCTTGTGAGTGATAAAAATGCTCTCTACTGCCTTTTCTCTGAGTAGAACACAGCTTTAAAAATAGATCAGTCGATAAACAAAAACCATCACTATTTTAGTTAGCATTAAATTAACTTGCCTTTCTTCTAAATAGGAACACTCATTTTGATTCACAATATATCCCATTTTCATTTACAAGATTTTTCATACTGATTTTCAAAACCAATATATATTTTAGACAAATAAAATGTCCTTGCTGCAGTAATACCTACTTAATGACAAAGACATATTTTACTGGCTGTATTATGTCATAGATGTAATTTAATTATATACCACTGAAAATTAAAAACACTTAAATTAATGATATAACTTAATGTTATGGTTACTTATTTTGTACACATGGCAAGAAAACAACCAAAATGAATTTATTAACATTGTTTTAGAACATAAACAATCTTTGGAGTCACTTTTCACTTTGTCATCAATGCATACTTCTCCAAATGATTGTCTCACATCTAAGCAAGAGCATAAGAAATAAAAAGAATCTCCATACTCCATTCACATCTCTCAGATTTCCTTTTAAGTTGCTGATACCCTTAAGTATAAATGCTAACACAATCTGGATCTTTCAAGATATATAGATAGAAGATTTTCAAACAAAAGCCAGGATTCACCCACCTTTCTCAAACTGTCCTTAAATTATCTGTTGACTGAAAAGTGAAGGGCATACGGTTAACCAACCATGCCAGGGGAATAGCAGCAAAGCTGTACAAGTGCAAGCAATGACAAAACATCACAGTTGCCATCCAGTCATCAAGATACTTATGAATTTAAGATACTTGTGAATTACTGCACTGTTGAATATGTACCTCACAACAAAATTCAGTACTGCTGGTGTGTGTAGCAGTGCTAAGGACCACAACCAAATTGTCTACAACTTAAAAACATCAATCACTGTTCTCATAAAAGGGTAATAAGCTTATTAAGGGGAAACCCACATGATAACATAACCTACAACTTGCAACAAAATCTTGAAAATCATCAAAACTATTTGAGCAAGAGAGTAAAACACAAAAAGAACTTGCATAATAGTATGGAAATGGGAGTGTATATGTGTGTACAAGAGGCGTATGGCCACCTGCATTTGCTAATGTGGAATACCAGGGAAAAAAAGACTGACTACAAAATCAATTAACAACAAATAGAAACACCAATACCAGTATTTAGGCAATTATGAATGCAAACTTTTTTGTTTTACTTGTTTTGGGTCCTAGAAGATAACTCTGTTCTTTGGTATACCTCCTGGTAGGTTGACCAAATAACAAAGGCACACGATCCACCAAGATAATAAAAATAACTCATGACCTAGCTAAACATGAGTTTTGTAAATTACAATTTGAGTCACAAGACATTTCAATAGCATGAAGGGGAGCAATAAAAATCAGGAGAGTAACAGTGAGTGTAAGAATGGTTTAAGTTAATATAAAATTCTGTATTGTACTAGTCTTAATCACTAAAAGTATTTTCAATCTATTCTCTACCCCATTTGAGTGGTTTGACTTCATTGATGATTTTGAGTCATTTATTAAATTATATTTTTCCTCTGTTCAGCTGTACTACTCCCACCCAACTCTATGACTTGGTTACTGACAATAGGTTATAGCTCCAATTTTGTAAAATATAAATGACCAGATTCACATATTTTTAACAACTTTCCATATTTAAAGAAAAAAATAAAATCAAGATATTTGAAACAGGTCTGGGGAATAAATCCACAAACTTTCTTAATAAAGGATGCTAGAGAGCCTGTATAGGTCCTTAGCCTAACATTTCAGGAAGAGAAAGACTCAAAGAACATTTTCTGTTACATGCTATGAAGATATACTCCCCTACTTGCAATTGTGAAAGAAGTCTACAGTGTTGTTACTTTAACATCTCCCAAGTTTTTAAATTAGCATTACTACTTTGATACTGTCAGCATCCATTTGCTTTTTCACTTTATATTATGAAAATTTTCAAACATATAGGGTGTGATAAAAAATACAATAATCATTTAAATTTTTAAAATTTATACTATTACAATAAAAGACACATTGCTATTAATCCTCCTAAAAATACTCCTCACTTCAAATGCACTTATCCTATTGTTCTTGCCATTTTCTGAAGCACATCTGGAAGTCCTCTGGAAATTAAGTGTCTTCAGTTGTGCTCTAATGGTTGCCTTGATGTCCTGAATTAATTCAGAATATTTAACTTTCATGGTCATTTTGACTTTGAGGAAGAGCCAGAAGTGCCAGATCCAGTGATTAAGATGGGTCAAGACATACCATAATGTTGTTATGAAGCTACCTTTCTTCTGCATGCACTCAATAGCAGCATTCATTGTGGTTTTAATCAGATCTTGTAGAGATACTTAGGAAACAGTACTTTCAGAACTGCTTCAGAATGTGATAAGAACAATGGGATATGTTTGAAGTGAAAAGCAGTGTTCTGAAGGGCTCTAATAGCAAGGTATCTTTTGTCTTTACTGTAATAATTTTTTTTTAAATTTAAACATTCACTATA